ATAATGAATAATAAAATAGAACAAGTATAATTACATGCCAGCACCATTATTCTTGCACTTTGGGTCCATTATTAAGTAAAATAAGGATTTTTTTGGACACAAGCCCTGTGATACTGTGACAGTCACTGCTAACCAAATAGGCTACTAAGTGACAAACGGGCAGGTAGTGTAGACAGCATGGATATGCTGAACAAAGGGATGATTCATGTCACGGGCAGGATGAAGTGGGACATCCAGAGAGTTCCTCATGCTACTCAGAATGGCACACAATTTAAAACTCATGAATTGCTTATTTCAGGAATTTTCCATTTAATATTTTCAGACCTCAATTGACTTGGGGTAACTGAAACTTCAGAAAGCAAAACCATGGGATAAGGGAGGGACTACTGTATAGCATTTAAAGCCTATCCATTAAGTTAACTTCCCACAAACCCTCTGGTTTAAATACCTCTGCTCCAGAACATCACCTCAACTACTCTGGGTATCTTCCTAAATTTTACCATGGCTTGAAATTATCTCAATACAAGTAGGAAGTTAACTTTAATATAAACATTATTTAAATAGTCACATTCCCTGGATTAAGCAGGCTCATAGTTGTTTTAAATTAAGCTAATTTGTTTCATGAGCACATTACCAGTCCATAATCATAAAATAATTGTATTTTTCATTTCTAGAGACCTGTGCTGTCCAATATGGTAACTACTAGATACATGTGATTATTTCATTAAGTTAATTTTAAAAAAGAATCGAATTTCAGTTCTTCAGTTGTCCGCATTTCAAATGTTAAATGCCACACGGAGTTAGCAGCTACCACACTGGACAATATAGAGAACATCACCAAGCACTCTATAGGGCAAGACTGCTATCGGCTTTTTCTAAAACATTATTCTAAAGCATAACACTGATTTAGCTGAAATGCTGGCAGAATTCAACCTTATAATTTTCAATTCTACATGTTACTGGTTCTGAAAATGTAGTCCCTGGACCAGCACTGGCACCATTTACAAATCTGTTAGAAATACAAATTCTCAAGCTCCAACAATCTGTGTTTTGACAAGCTCTCCAGGTGATCCAGGAGATTTTGAAACATGCTCAAGTTTTAGTCACTGTTCTAAGTTACTTAAGAGCAGTTATGATATAAGCCATGACATAAGAAATCTACCATTACAATCTGAAATATTCTATAAATGATGCATCAACTATGAAATCATACAACCATATTGCTGTTATGATGGATTCTAATACAAAAGGAAAACAAAATATTCTTAACAAATTATATTAAGCTTCACTTCTTAAAAATAAACAAAACAACAACAACAAAAAAAACCATTGACCAGGCACGGTGGCTCACACCTTTAATCCCAGCACTTTGGGAGGCTGAGGCAGGCAAATCATCTAAGGTTGGGAGTTCAAGACCAGCCTGACCAACATGGAGAAACCTCATCTCTACTAAAAATGCAAAATTAGCTGGGCATGGTGGCACATGCCTGTAATCCCAGCTACTTGGGAGGCTGAGGCAGGACAACAGCTTGAACCCGGGAGGTGGAGGTTGTGGTGAGCCGAGATCGCACCATTGCACTCCAGCCTGGGCAACAAGAGCGAAACTGTCTCAAAAAAAAAAAAAAAAAAAAAAAAAAAAAAAAAATTAAAACTGTAATTTCCTTCCTCTTCTAGTAAGCAGGCCCCTTTTCATTTCAACATCAACATAATCACATTTTTATATTTTTCTAAGATTTCAATTAAAAACCTTTAACTTAGAATATACACAGTAGAATAATGAGGAAGGAAGGCAGTATTTTCAAATTTTATATCAATTGCAATTTTCACATGAGCAAATATTACTTTTGTAATAAGCTAACAAAAAGAAATCTATTAGCTAGAATTACCTCAGCAAGAAGTTGAAACTAAAGTTGCACAAGTGTTACAAAAGAAGCTAAACAACTATACTACTCTAAATTCCTCTTAACAATCATAAATCTAGTATTAAACTATTTGCAAAATCAACATCTATGTATGCTAAATATTCCTTATTAAATTTTCTGACAGAAAAACATTCTTAGAAATTTCAGCTAAGAACAGTAATGTAATACATTAAAGTGATTATAAAACCACTGGGAAAAGATCTATCTAGTCTTGGCTTACCACAAATTTGGCCCAAAAAGGAGAGACTTTAAGAGCCTGATTGATTACAAATTTCTGCCACAGCCAAGTGCCTACTATGATAATCTACTGTTGGAAAATTACTTAATCACAATTTGTGTACAAAATGTTCCAGGTACATATACTGCAATAGGAGGCACTGAGATCATGTTAAGGGATTTCATAAAAATATTTACAACATATTAAGCTTATGTGCCATCCACGAGAACCCAAATCATACTTCATACTACTGTTGTACCACATAAATGTCCATTTCCAATCAAGCATCATTCCATAAAATGAACCTGACAATGCTTGACAAAACATTGACATCTAGGCTGGGCGCAGTGGCTCACGCCTGTAATTCAAACACTTTGACAGGCCGAAGCAGGCAGATCACCTTAGGTCAAGAGTTTGAGACCAGCCTGGCTAACACGGTGAAACCCTGTTTCTACTAAAAATACAAAAAATTAGCCGGGTGGTGGCACGCACCTGTAATCCCAGCTACTCAGGAGGCTGAGGCAAAATAATTGCTTGAACCCAGGAGGCAGAGGTTGCAGTGAGCCAAGATTGCACCATTGCACTCCACTCCACTTGGGCAACAAGAGCAAAACTCCGTCTCAAAAAAAAAAAGTTAACATCTAAACATTCACCATGGCCAGATGTGGTGGCTCACCCCTGTAATCCCAAAATTTTGGGAGTCTGAGTCCAACAAATCGTTTGAGTCCAGGAGTTAAAGACCAGCCTGGGCAACATAGCAAGACCCCATCTCATAAACTATCAGAAAAAGAAAAAAACCTACAAAAATTGGCCTGGCATGGTGGCACCCCTGTACTCAGGAGGCTGCGGTGGGAAAATCGCTTGAGCACGAAAAGCAGGGGTTGCAGTGAGCCAAGCTCACGCCACTGCACTCCAACCTGGGTGACAGTGAAACCCTGTCAAAAAAAATAAACAAACATTCTCTGTTACCAAACACTAAAGAGTCAGTTTCCACATTAAGTATTGTCCCCCCACCAAAAAAAATTGAAAATGACTAATATATTAAATACTGGCCACGCACGGTGGCTCACGCCTATAATCCCAGCACTTTGGGAGGCCAAGGTGGGCGGAACACGAGGTCAGGAGTTCGACACCAGCCTGGCCAACATAGTGAAACCCCTTCTCTACTAAAAATACAAAAATTAGCCAGGCGTGCTGGCAGGCGCCTGTAGTCCCAGCTACTCGGGAGGCTGAGACAGGACAATTGTTTGAACCTAGGAGGCGGAGGTTGCGTGACTAAAGACTGTGCCATTGCACTCCAGTCTGGGCTACAGACCGAGACTCCGTCTCAAAAAAGAAAAAAAAGTACCAACCATGTGCCAAACAGCACTCCTAATTTCTTTCAGCCACCTTGGTCTGTCTAGCACAGATTTAGGCATATAATGGACACTTAATGGGCATTTATGAAAAAAAGGGATGACTATTAAATTCTTAGAGAAGTTTAAAAAAAATTTTCTTTTTTTGAGATGGAGTTTCTGCCCTTGTTGCCCAGGCTGGAGTGCAGTGGTAAGATCTTGGCTCACACTGCAACCTCTGCCTCCCAGGTTCCAGCGATTCTCCTGCCTCAGCCTCTCAAGCAGCTGGGATTACCGGCAGGCACCACCACCTCCGGCTAATTTTTGTATTTTTAGTAGAGACAGGGTTTCATCATGTCGGCCTGGCTGGTCTCGAACTCCTGAACTCAGGTAATCCACCCGCCTTGGCCTCCCAAAGCGCTGGATTACAGGCATACCAACGAGCCCGGCCAAAAAAAAATTTTAATGGTGCCAGCCCTTAAGGAAATTACAAATCGAGTTGGGAGATAAGACAAACACATGAAAAGCTAAGTAACACAGGACAATTAAAAATACCATGTGGCAAGATATGATTACTGCAAAGTTAGTAGCAAAGAGTGTTATAAATTCTGACCAGTGAGATTATTATAGACTGTGGCCCTTGTAGTCTCCCAACAAAACGGGGACGCTATATTTCGATTTAAAAAAAGAAAGTGACACAGCAATCATCCTACCCTAAAATTATCATCAGAAGAAGGAATACAGTAAGAGAGTGATATAAAGAAACTCCATACAAGGTTTTTAAAGCCTATGGTAGCCCTGAAAAAAGTTGGAACATTAGACACGCAACCCTTTGTTGATCCAGGACCTGTAAAGGCTCCTGAAACACAAGTCTCTCAGGAACAGCATCCTCTGTTCTTTCTCCGCCCCCTACGGAGCTTTCCACTGGACAGCCGCCCGAGAAATTTCTCCCAGCATCTGCAATGGCAATACTCTCATCTTCCTCCCCTCGCCTGTATCAGACGGTGGCATCTCCCTCCAGGGGAAAAAACCGAGGGCGGGGGAGGCTGCATAAGAGGGAAAGCTCGCAGTGAGGTTGATTATGGAGGAGGAAGGTGAGAAAAATGCAGGGTACGAGCGTGGGGTCTCCTGAGCGCCAGCCCACTCTCTCTACAAGGCCTAGCCCACACGCTCCCACCCCGAAGGCACGCCCCTCACAAGCCGGACCCGGACGCGGACCTGAGTGACAGCAACACCACCTGTACTGCACTCCCTCCCCCAGGGCCTGCAGGGAGACGACTGCCCCTGCCCCCACCACCAGCGGCCCCTGGCTCTTTCTCTCCCCTTCCAGTCCACGTCGTCGACGAGTGACAGGTACCGAGGGAGGCGATTGCAAGCGCACGCCGTTCGGGACTACTGGGGCAACTCTGCGCCGAAGCCCTCCAACAGGCGCGCGGGGGCAGACAGAACGTTCCAGACGGCCCAGGGGGACCCGGTCCAGGCCCAGCCTGCCCTAGCTGCCCTACAACGGGCGGAGGTGGCACTTACTGCGGAGATTGTGGATTAGCTCCGAGTGGCTGGCGCCGCCGGATTTCCAGGCCATCGCTAAGCACACTCGGAGCAGGTACAGAACCACCTTCAGCGCGGCGACGGTGCCCAGCAGTTTTCCCAAGAGTGAGACCACCTCCCACACCGTCACCGCCCCGCTCGCGTCCCCGCTGTAGCTGCCGCTGTTACTGCCGTCGCCGCTGCTGCCGCCACTGCGCGCTCCCGGCATCCCCCGCGGCACGCATGCGCTCTGTGACGCCGCGCGGCCTAGGGTGCGGCCGGGTGGGGCCGAGGGCGGGGGAAGCGTGTGGCCCAGCTGCCCGCGCGTGTGGCTGCTGTGGCTGCTGCGGCTGTCAGGGGGACTGCAGGGAGGCCAGGCTGAGTCAGCGCCACCGCCGCTGCTGCGTGTCCCTTTCTGAGGCCTCGAACCGCACCGACTTCGCCCTGCGGCCGGGCTCGGTAGCCTGATCAGTCGCGTTCCCGGCTGCGTCTCCGGTCACCGAGCGGGACGGCGGGATGGCGGGGTCGATCTTTGCAGACGCTCCTTGTGGTTCCGCAGTCGCTGCTGGGTCAGCTGTTTCGAGCGGCGGATCTCCTCCTATAGATGGCCAGATTGTTAGACGGTGGGCTTCATCCGTTCCTACCTCGCCCAACCCAGTTGACTGGTATTTGGGTCTGTGGAGCCCGAATAACACAATAAGAATAAAACCCAACGACAAAGGCCCTCTCTAACCCGAGTACACCGGCATCTGGCTTTGTGACAAACATGTCACCGTTAGGCTAAGCAAAGACTTTGGAACCCTGGTTCTAAAGCTGTCAGGGAGTGGAAGAATACCAGGACATGGGGGTGGGGGTTGGCAAAGCTTTGCTCCCTTAGAATAATACGAACGTAAAGAATTGCGATTGGTTAAAAAATACCACTGTGTCCTCTGGTGAACGTGTTATTCTCCCGACAAAAGTGTGCATTTCCACCTAATTAAGCCTCACAAATTCCACCATAGCTTTATTGCTATCAGCTCTGCAAGACCATGAGTGAGAAGCTCACTGAGAACATTGCTTGTCGCGTCCAAATCGCTGACTCGTAATTTGACCTGAGACTGACAGAATCCAGCCAACACTTAGTCCAGTAATCTTTTTTTTTTCTTTTTTTTTTTTTTTTTTTGAGACAGAGTCTCGCTCTGTCGCCCAGGCTGGAGTGCAGTGGCGCGATCTCGGCTCACTGCAAGCTCCGCCTCCCGGGTTCAGCCTCCTGAGTAGCTGAGACTACAGGCGTCCGCCACCAAGCCCGGCTAATTTTTTGTATTTTTAGTAGAGACGGGGTTTCACCGTGTTAGCCAGGATGGTCTCGATCTCCTGACCTCGGGATCTGCCCTCGTCCGCCTCCCCAAGTGCTGGGATTACAGGCGTAAGCCATTGCGCCCGGCCTCCAGTAATCTGTTGGAAGGAAACAAGGCTAAGACATCTGTGCTACTATGTCAGCACAATTTTCAAATTATAGTTCTTACCCGATTTTGTAAAATGTGACACTGGCCTGTTTCCCATCCAAAATCATCACTACCTATTTTCTGGGATTCTGTGACCATAAATGAAACTACTGACAAAACTGGGTTTTTGGTTTTTGTTTTTGTTTTTGTTTTTTGAGACGGAGTCTCGCTCAGTAGCCCAGGCTGGAATGCAGTGGCACGATCTTGGCTCACTGCAACCTCCGCCTCCCAGGTCCGCGTTCAAGGAATTCTGCCGCAGCCTCCCGAGTAGCTGGAATTACAGGCACGACCACCATGCCCAGCTAATTTTTTTGTATTTTTAGTAGTAGAGTTTCACCATGTTGGCCAGGCTGGTCTTGAACTCCTGACCTCGTGATCTGCCTGCCTCGATCTCCCAAAGTGCTGGAATTACAGGCATGAGCCACCGTGCCCAGCCAAAACAGTGTTCTTTACTTCAATATTAAACATGAATAAATTGTTGATTTGGGACTGTAACCCACTTAATATTTTCCATTTCATCTTTTCTACAGTTTCTTGATGATCTTCCATTTGGTGAAAAGAAAAAAGTCAAATCCTTGATAGGAACCTGATAACTCTAAAGCTGAGCCAGATGGATTGCATTTACATGCAGTGCTTCCCTAAACTGTCCCTGTGAAGTAGGACTACCAATATCACATAAAAACAACAATAGCATAATGGCCCTTTTTAAAGAAACAACCAACATACAGTTATGAACACCTGTAGTATTAAAGAGGTTCATTTTTCAGATAAGTCATACCTCTTGTATTCAGTAGGATTTACATTCTTTTTTTATTCTTTTTTTTTTTTTTGTTTGAGACGGAGTCTCACTCTGTCGCCCAGGCTAGAGTGCAGTGGCTGGATCTCAGCTCACTGCAAGCTCCGCCTCCCGGGTTCACGCCATTCTCCTGCCTCAGCCTCCCGAGTAGCTGGGACTACAGGCGCCCGCCACCTCGCCCGGCTAGTTTTTTGTATTTTTTTAGTAGAGACGGAGTTTCACCGTGTTAGCCAGGATGGTCTCCATCTCCTGACCTCATGATCCGCCCGTCTCAGCCTCCCAAAGTGCTGGGATTACAGGCTTGAGCCACCGCGCCCGGCCGGATTTACATTCTAATTAGGGAGGAATATGCATCTTAAGAAAACTAACGATAGAATATATCCAAAATATATGTAATAGTGGCCTAGATATCAAATGCAAGCTCACGCCTGTAATCCCAGCACTTTGGGAGGACAAGGCAGGCGGATCACCTGAGGTCAGGAGTTCGAGACCAGCCTGGCCAATAGGGTAAAATCCCGTCTCTACCAAAAAAAAAAAAAGCCAGGCATGGTGACACGCACCTGTAGTCCCAGCTACCCTGGAAGCTGAGGTGAGAGAATCACTTTAATCTGGGAGGCGGAGGTTGCAGTGAGCTGAGATTGTGCCACTGCACTTCAACCTGGGCCACAGAGTGAGACCCTGTCTTCAAAAAGAAAAAAAGCGATGTTGATTTAGATCAACATTGGCTGGGGGCATCAGGAAATGGTTAAGGAAAGAACAGATCCTTGAAGGATAGGCAGGATTCTGAGGAGTAAAGAGGAAGGGAAGAATATTATAGGTGTAACCAAAAGCACAGAAGGAACCTAGAAAACTGATTCCTGGGCTATTGACAATAGATATCACAAACCTCATTCTTAATCATGCACATAATTAAATTGACCAAAGCTAGGCAATTGGCATCAAAACTAAAACTGGAGTCTTTCAGAATTCTAACTCCAGGCTCTGACAGTGTGTATTAACTTTCAAGCAAAGTATTTGTTTGGGGGACAAGAGGGAGAGGTTTAGGATAGTAGGTTGGCACTGTATTCGAGGTACTTCCATGAGTATTTAAGGATTTTTGAATTGTTTTCTATGCGCAGTGACCTGCAACTGCTTAGGTGTGGTTTCAAGGTGGTTTCTACTGTATTGATTTTGTTCTATTTTTGCTCTTAAATTTTACACTGCACAATTATTGAACACAAGAAAATACTGATATTGTAGATTAGGAGCAAGTCCTACTGCTCAAAGACCAAAGCGCTCTTGCCTTTGCTCAGAGTCGCTCTAGGAGATGGGCCTCTCGGTCTAGGTTCTCCCAGTTTGTATACTGACCGTGCCCACACTGGCTACCGAAGAGAATTGACTCTCTGCAGCCACCGTCTCCCTCCTAAAGTCCCATCCAATCAGGGTTCCGCGGGAAGAGGCGGGGCTGAGAGGCGCGCGTTGTGCTTGCTTTTTGCAGTGCCTGCTGCGGCTGCTTTCGGCATGGAGGAAATTTATGCGAAGTTTGTGTCTCAGAAAATCAGCAAAACCCGCTGGCGACCGCTGCCTCCCGGAAGTTTGCAAACCGCGGAGACGTTTGCTACCGGATCTTGGGACAATGAGGTATCCCCGCTGATAGGGACGAGCCCCTGCCTCTTCCCTCCCTCCGGTTGAGCTGACCCCTGGCCGCGCGCGCGCCAACTCCCACCTTCTGGTTTTTCTCGCACTTCTAGGTCCCTCGGACCCTGTCTCAGGCGCGGTTGCTCCATAGCTCAGAGCCCGTGATGGTGTGCCTGAGCCTCATATCTCGTTACGTTTTAAACTCACCATACTATTTGTCTGAGATGTTTTGGAGCAAGCTTTCTGGACGGAAGCGCAACTTTTATTTTCCGAGAGTTGACGTTTATGTCATCTCAAGACAAAACTCTTTGTTTTACAGGAAAATTATGTTTCACTGTGGTCTATTGGAGATTTTGGAAACTTGGACTCTGATGGAGGGTTTGAAGGAGACCATCAATTATTGTGTGATATCAGACACCATGGTGATGTCATGGATTTACAGGTAAATCTGTGTAGCATCCAAAAGCTAACTTTGAAAGTCCTGAGTAATACATTTAAACAAGCAGAGCATCATAAAGGTTGTCTTGTATCACCCCTCATTTACAAAAAACTGAGTGCTCTGTAAGTTATAATTTGGCCGACATCATTTAGCCATTTAGTTGCAGAAAAAGGACTGGGAAAGGGGATGTAGATTTAATCATACTTTTTTATTTATTGACCGTCGACTATGTGCTAAGTACCGTTTGGGGAGCTTTACAAAAATTAATTATTATTGGTTGCCGGTATATCAAGTATTGTTACTTTGTTTTACTAATGAGAAAATTGAGACTAATATATCTTGAGCATGTACTATGTGACAGATACTGTGCAGGGGGATTAACATCATTTTGTTTTTTGAATTCTCATGACAACTCCCTAAGCAGAGATTAGTGCTCCCGTTTTAAAGATTTACCACGATTTAGTGAACTTAACTTGGCCAAAGTCTCAAAACCAGTAGTGAGTGGTGGGGATGAAATTGAGCTTTCTTTTTTTCTTTTTTTTTTTTTCTTTCTTTTTTTTTTTTTTGAGGTGAAGTCTCGCTCTGTCTCCCCGGCTGGAGTACAGTGGCATGATCTCGGCTCACTACAGCCTCCACTTCCCGGATTCCAGCGATTCTCCTGCCTCAGCCTCCCAGGTAGCTGGGACTACAGGCACAGGCCACCACACCCGGCTAATTGTTTGTATTTTTAGTAGAGACGGGGTTTCACCATATTAACCAGGATGGTCTTGAACTCCTGATCTCGGCCTCCCAAAGTGCTGGGATTGCAGGAGTGAGCCACTGTGCCTGGCCAAAATTAAGTTTTCAAATCCTGGTGTGGAGAGCCCCTGCATTTTATTCTATAGAAAGCTACCTAGCCCTGGTGTACGCCTGTAATCCTAGCTACTCGGGAAGCTGAGGCAGGAGAATTGCTTGAACCTGGGCGCAGAGGTTACAGTAAGCTGAGTGCGCGCCAGTCTGGGCAACAAGAGCGAAACACTGTCCCAAAAAAAAAAAAAGAAAGGAAAAGAGACAGAGAGAAGAAAGAGAAGAAAGAAAGCTATCTAGCCCTAGGAAAGATCTTTTTTTTTTTTAATTTGAGACGGAGTCTCACACTGTCACCTGAGCTGGAGTGCAGTGGCACGATCTCAGCTCACTGCAACCTCTGCCTCCTGGGTTCATGCAGTTCTTCTGCCTCAGCGTCCTGAGTAACTGGGACAACAGGCATATGCCTCCATGCCTGGCTAATTTTTGTGTTTTTAGTAGAGATGGGGTTTCACTATGTTGGCCAGGCTGGTCTTGAACTCCTGACCTCGTGGTTCACCCGGCTTGGCCTCCTGAAGTGCTAGGATTACAGGCGTGAGCCACCATGCCAGGACAATATTTTTCCTTTCTTTTTTTCTTTTTTTTTTTTTTTGAGATGGAGTCTTGCTCTGTCGCCCAAGCTG